AGCTCATTATCATGTTTAATGAAAAAAGATATAAGGATGAAAAGCACAATCGGAAGCCATAGAAAATTGAAACAACCATTGAGAAGAAGCTTTTTGGGGAGGTAACTGAGGGATAGTCAATAGCTTGCTTCAGCTTAAATGTAACAACGGCTGCATCAACCTACAAAAGCATGAAGGTCATAAAGCATAAGGTGATAACTTCTTTAAGATAATCAACACTAAATACTCTGCTATTTACTTTAATTGACAAATATTCAAAACAAGACAAATCTCTTCAAGCAACTACAGTGGCTAAGAGCACCAGAGTACCACCAAATTGGGAGGAACATGTGTACTTTAAGCTGGCATTTTGGCTAATTTCATATTCTTGGTAAATATAAGATGGAGATATAAATATAGAGGTCAAATACATGGTCACATACATACGAGTCATCAAACTGTACAATGGGCGACCCAAATAACCACAACCAAAATTTAAAGAAAATAGTTGTGCAAAATTCTCTGCCTTCTAGAATGAAAAGCAAATAGCAAGTTTTAAAACAAAACATGCACTTGCAATATTTTGTAACTTAAACCACTTACATTCGGCTGAGGGAAAAAGCTTGTTCTTGGGACTTTAAATTTGTATTGGGGCTCTGAAAAGAAAATTGCAATGGGAAAACCATTAGTAAGACACCAAAAGCTACGTGATCTGGGACTGGAAAAGAGAGGTTCTCAATGACTTAGTTGACACATGCTTAGATTTCTATTTATTCAATTTGAAATCAATAAGGATTATCTCTCAAGTACTGAATAAGTGTTATGTTTTATGACGTAACTGAATTTTGTAGTTAGGTAAAATACCTCTCAACACAAATTTGGCTAACCTTATTTACATATATTAGATTTTGTCTATAATTAATTAAAAATTATTACTACTGACCAAGCAGCCTTACATACAGAGACTCTATTGATGTCAATCTTTCTCTGGAATATGAAGATCTCCTTTATCTATAATTTCAGTTGCAAATTAGCATAAAGCTCAGAAGCATATGACAATACAGGTATGACACTGACCAAAAGCAATTTATATGTTATGTAGTTTATTCAACTGGTAATTTCTGGTGAAATACCTGAATAAAAATTGACAAAGATATTGATGGGTCTGTACTCAGATGTCCGCAAGGATGGTTTCACCAAGCGCATGGCTGTCTCCTCCTGAAATTATTCAACACTTACAGTGACATTAAGTAGGCAAACCTCTAAATATATACATCTGATTCAACTTGTGACATGGTAAGACATAAATGTCTAATACACATCATTTCAAACTTACTAATTTTTTTTTTATCTACAAATCCATTATCAAAGCTCTTGTTACTTCAGTTAATATTACTACCTGAAGTAAGAGAACAACTTCAGAAAAAATGTCACCCATTGGAAGAAGTTGCTTGACGACATCAGTACTTATATTAAAAGGTATATTGGCGACAACCTGAAAAGAAGAAACTGTGAATATAGACTAAATACATCTAAAGTTAACATGAGGAAAAGAAGAGAGAAAATGTACGCAGCTTGAATCTAATACATCAGGCAACTCGTTATAAATCCAAATTTGGGACCCAAATTCAACATATATGTATATATAAACCATACCGCACAAATCTTCCTAGTCATTGATATGTTACTGCATAGCATTTGGTCTAAAATAATACACTAGTACAACAGAAGTGTCAGGTTTGATAACCATATTCATAACTCACACATGTTGAAAGCAACCCATCTATACTAATACATTTTATGGTAATTCTGTATTCACATCAAATGAAAATTGCATCTGCTTCAGAAATTAATATTGATAAAATGTCACAGAATATTAGAATAAATTGTTGATGGCTTCTGCAAAAGGGCTATGGGATTTTCTCACCTTAGCATAAGCCGAATTTGCATTTGACGACTGTCTATTCTCAAACAATGACAACATATGAGAGTGGATGTGACATTTGACGAAATCTTCTTGCAAAACCTAGAGATTTTAGTTAATGAGATAAGAACCTGAACAGTAGAGCTATTCAATTAAAAAAGAAGCAATCTCTAACACCAACAAATAGCAAGCAAATATATCACCTTGAACCGCTCTGTACTTGCAAATCTTTCTGTCACGAGACCCACCATATGAGGATCTGTGAGTCACATTCAAAGAAAGGAAAGATATGAGAATACCAATGTCATACACTAAAAAAAAATAAAAAAAATAACAATATGCACTAAAAAAGGTATTAACACCATGTCTCAGTAAAGGGTTATTAAAAGAAACTTCAATTTGAACTTAACGTTACCTTCACGTATTTTCATAACGTCAAAATAAAAATCTAACGCCTAATTAAATCCAACATGTAATGAAAACAAAAGCACAATTATCTCACCTTCTCTATGGCAAGGACTGTGGCACCAGCATTTAGCAGTACATTGGTCAAGGAACCGGTTCCAGGTCCAATCTCTAACACCAAATCTCCTTCTTTGATATTAGCAGCGCCAACAAGTTGCTCGTTTATTTCAGAATTCAACATGTAATGCTGCAAAACCGTAACACACCATTAATGCTCACCAAGTGTTCGAAAAATATCCGCAATCAACATAACATGAGTGTGACCAAGACCTGGCCAAGAGATTTTCTGGGAAAACGGCCTTTGGAATTAAGGGCTTTAAGGGTGGCGTGATAGTCGTCTTGGCTTTTCGCGCAAACTATGCATGCTGCTCTCTTTTTAGCTCCGCAGGTGCTACTGTACGCCGGAAGCGTAGGTTTGTATCGGCTGTGTGGGTTTGTTAAGGGAGGATTTGGGAAGAGAAGTGATATGGCCATGGAAATGTCTGTGTAGGGGGAATGCTTACTCACTCTCAGCTAACTTCATTTAATCCAAATATAAACGGTAATAATTCATCCATGTAAGTAACGGTACAGATGACAAAATACTCACCCTTTGCTAACTTCTTTCAAGCCAAATTGTATTAGTAATTAGTTAATTACTCATCCATGTAAAGGAAGGACCAGATGAAAAGTCGTGCCTTTCATGAGATATGAAACGGCAAGTCGTCTACTTCATGAATTTAAGTGTTATACTGTCATGCTTTACAGTTACGGATGACGCCTCGTACACAAGATTTTTATTAACTAATAAAAATTGGTCCAAAACAATAAAAACAAAATAAAACTCACTACCTTCAGTCATTTTAAGTTGACTATAATAACTAACAGCACCCGTGGGCGTTTTTTTATTTTCAGCAAAAAATTGTAGGCCATGAGCATTGTATTGATGAGACGGTCTTCTCAAGTCAAAATAACAACTTATCCTAAATTCAACCAAACAATTTAGATCAAACTTAAACAAAGATGCGTATTTTAAGAAACTGGGAGCAAACCCGTTGATCTACCATACATTATTAAATTCTTTGTCAAGGAACCGGTGATTAGGAGCTTTTGCCATATCAAACATCTCGTCTCCATTATTTTGTGGTAGAAGGTTTTGTTGTTGCTGTTGTTTACTTTCTTCTACTTTGTTTCCCTTGAGAAAATCTTCTCCGTTAGAATCTACCATGGGGCGAAACTCTGCCAACTTCCCGTTGCTAGTGACACTGATTCCAGTAAAACTAGAACGGGGATAAGTAGAATCTAGCTGGTTGCCGAGTAGTGTCAGTTGCCCGTATTTACAACTTGATGAATCATTACAATTTGGCCCTAAATGATTAAGGGAATTTGTATAACCAAGAAAAGGCATAGACCTGCAACTACTGACATTCTCTGGCTCATGGCTTCCAAATTCTGGTTGAAAAGATGTCAAGGATTGCATCTCCGGATTTTGATACAAGTCTCCTTGTATATCGACTGTAGATGAATTGTATGACGCAAGATGTGATTGAGCATAATCCCTGTTCATAGTCTTCTTTATACGTTGCTCCCGTTTTAAGGCCAGGCGATATTTCTGCAAAAATCAGATTTACAACAGATTCTTTGGTCACACCACAGTGCTAGTACTTTAAGTAACATAAGATTCCAGAAACAAGCAAATGCCACTTATATATGGAGAACACACCTGTAAATGACTCGAAATATTTTCTTTCTTTAGACCTGGGACATTCATATGCTGAAGTATTTTCTTTGGATGCGCTCCTAAATTAAAAGATATAAGATGAAAATAGATTACTAGGTTATTACCGGTAGTAACCAATTTAATAAATATGCACTTTGAAAATCAAACCTTGAAACACTTTACCATCAATGCCTAGCACTCTGATAGCTTGTAAGAATCTATTATGTAGCCCATTAGTCCAAATTAGCTTTGGCTTCTTGAGGACAGATATATCATCATTATCTTCCTCCATCTCTTTTGGTTCTTTCCTTTTGCCGTTTTGGTGACTCTGCCTCCCTGTGTTCGCAAATATTTGATTTTCAGTATCATGATCTGATGAAATGCAACTTGAATCTTCGGCGGCCACTGTTCTATCTGTTTTCTTCATGAATGCAAATTGCCAAAGGTTTTTTATATCGTTCATGGTGATTGGCTTCACAAGATAAAGTGCAGCCCCCTTAAACAGGCCACCTAACATGTCATTTTCACTGTCGTCCGCAGACATGACTGTTATGAATGTAAACAGATCAAAAGCAATATCATCAGAGAGATAACTAATTGCACAGTAAACATTTTGCAGTTACAAATTGAGATAGCACAAGTGGACTAGTGGAGGCCACTTACTAACAACTGGAAATGTAGACATTTCTCCCATTGTCTCAAGCAGCTCATATTTGTCCATATCAGGCAAGTGAGTCTCAGCCAGGACAAGGTCAAGTTCGTCTTCTCTCTCCCGTGCAATGGATAATGCATCGGTGCCCCGTTTGGCCGTGATGACTGCAAATTAAGACAATCAGTCACATAGTTGCAATTTAAGACAAAGCAACAAACAATGAATGTGGATTTTAACACATTTAAATGATTTGACCGTGTCCCTACAATCGAAAGACGTGTAATTGAATCCTAAGACGAAAAACAGTAAACAGCTCTTTGACAATCACAGTATCAGAGAAAAAGAGTTTCCAATCACACTGATAAACCTTTGAGCTTATGTGAACCATTGGCGACTCTCAACCACCAAAGCTAGAAAGAGATGCGAACACTCAATCTTAAGTGTTAGTTCATCAAAAGGCAGCTAGAAATGGAAAAATTAATACACACATCGTAATGAAGCACCTGAAATCAATAGTGCCTTGAGAACAATTACTTCATTTACATGGAAACATGCAATCTCCCAAATATTCAAGAATCTAAAATAAAAGAAATCAACTGTTTACCTTTATATCCAAATTTAAGCAGCATTTTTGACAGAATTGTAAGACATATAGAATCATCATCCACAAGCAAAATACTAACACCTGCTGATAATAGCGTATCAAATTCACTAGATTCCACTGTGATTACCTCCCCAGTGTTCATGGCATAGGCAGTTTGATCTACAGACACCTTTGTAAGTTACCAAATAATAACAAGCAAAACTCACTAGTACAGTTTAGATTGGTAACCAAATATAAAGGGAAAACCAAACCTCTATATTTGATATGTGATGAATTTGCATAATCTCAAATGGAAATATTTAATCAACAGTTACTCAAATGTAATTTACCTGGCTTTGGTCTATAGTCAAATACATATATAGAAGTGCATTTATGCCCTTAAGGCTGTCATACCAAATCCAAATATTATGAGAATCCAGCTTGCTTGATAATTAGTAACCATATCAAGCAATGACAGATTTTTTTTTCTCTATTTGGTAATACAGCAAAGCATTGACTTGTTCAATCGCTGTTGTGTCTCAAGACTCTAAATTATTTCTTCTGGCCTAACCCAAGCCTATGGGCTGCCGAAATTTCCGCCTGCGGCTGGTGAAATATAAATTGCTGGGCATCTATCACTGTCAGAATGTCCAGGTTCTTCCGCGCCTTTATCAAATTTCAATGTCTAAATATTATTCCACAGATAGCTTAATGTCTAAAGAACCTGAAATTCAATCAAAGTATCACTACATAAATCAACCGGGTGAAATTCAGAGCACTTAACTTAGTTCCTGCACCATGGTAGTAAATGCATCAGCGCAGATACAGTGAGAGGGGCAGCAACTTGTGTAGAGAGATGATGACTTAAACACAGATAGATTTCTGGAAAAACAAAATACTACTACATCATATTAACCTTTAATTACAAAATTTTCTTTCTCATGTTTTAAGAAAACACTCTGAAAGACTAGGGGCAACTAATTTAACATCTCTAAATCAATAAAGCAAAAGAGGCCAAAGGAACCCTCAAAATTTCCTAGTTAAATAAAAGGCGACGCCTTGCAGACTTGGAAAGGTTAAGACTTGACATTTTCCTCTTCCCTTTCGATGTCTGATCACTCTGGCTACTGGAATTCTTGGTTATATCTTCTCCTGAATTTGCCTGAAGTTGTACTTTGGTTGAGCGATAAAATTCGGTAATGCTAAGCTGTACACCCTTTGGGTTTGGCGATTCTAATCTTTTACTGGACCCTTCAGATCTTAACCTTGAATCTTTTTTTTTTTTCAGTTCTTTCAATTCCTGTTAAATTTTAAGAGCAAAAACAATAATCACACAACAGCTCCAAAGCCTGAGATTTCCAGGCAAAAGAAAACAAGAGAAGTAAAAATTATACCTTTTCTCGCAAAAATATATCAACTTCCCCAGAAAATGCAGAATGCACAAGATCCATATCCTCATCTGTCAGCAAAAACCAGCACCCATCATCAACATAAATCTGAGGGCTATTTGATTCATCCAACAAATCAACGGATTCATTGACTTCCATGCACTCTTGATGCGACTCGGAATCTTCAACAGGGACAGCATACATAACATTGCCTGTTGCACATGCAGCTTTCTTCCACTTGACCACATAAGACTGATGTCCGTATCTTGTCTTCACACGCTGTATAGAATGAAATTCATATTGCCCATATAGCAAAGTTTTCACTGGATTTGTAGCCATTTCTCTCAAATATATGGTGGACAGCATCGGAAGAATCCTTTGACGAATATATGATGGTTCCCAAAGCTGATGAAAAACCAAGAAATCAACTACCATTTCAGTTTTTGGGCTTTCCCATGATATAGAAGGGCCATCAGCAGCTGAAAAAAATACAGAAGACTTCATGAGTCAGAACAAGATCTACAAAATCAATTAAGAAAAGGAAAAAATCGAGGCTTTGTTAATTGTATAAAAATCTACGGAATGCGCTCCGAAGTTCATGCATTTGATTAGCCACAAAAAATAAAATAAAATAAAATTCATGCATTTAGTCCTAGCAGAAGTAAAATCATGATAATCGTAATCGTAAATAATGTTCAAAATATAGCAAGAAAAATCCCAGAGCAATAAACCAACTCAATAATTCTGACTACTACCAAACATACCAATAGAGTTTCCATGATTATCGCATAAATACATTCCAATGATTTCGTCATTTGGAAAATTTGACGCCATAGTAATCTTGTTGCAAACTTTAATCCACCAATTTTCATGCTTCTTTTGCTCCTTGTCTTTTTTATTCTGCCATTCAAATACCATGAGGTGCTTTTAATGAGGACAGAAGAAGCACATACCACCACAAAACAGCTCTAATCAAAGGGCAAAACTACTGCAAGTTACAGAATATGGAGTTTGAAGTACAGTAGAATTTATTAATAAGATATAAGAAGGAAAATGTCCATATATTGATACAACATGTCACCATGTTCTAATAAATAATGGAAATTACAGCAAAGTTGTACCTTAATGCAGTTGGAACAATTACATTTAAACCCTTCTGGCTTTTTAATGCAATCCACACTATCACCATTGCAACAATATTCACAAGAAAACTTGAAATGAGCTCTCTTACTGCCTGGATGCCCACAGAAGGAACAATGAGATATTTTCTTTGGGGAGCTTTCATCTAAACAGGGCACAACATCATCTGCAGACTCAATGCCACTCTGATATTGTGGTATATCCCCATTGCCTATTTCATGTAAGCTACAAGAAATTTTCATCTTCAATAGATACGATTATGAGCAGGGTACAGCATCATCTATAGCTTTAATACTACTCTTTACAATTACAAATAATAAGAGAACTAATCTTCAAACCAGATTAGAAGAATACCTATTTAATATCTCATCTTCACTGAACTTTTGGACAAAACGAAGAGCTGTGTCAAGCCCAATCCCTTGCACCCCATTTAAATCATGGTCATTACCAACCAAAAGAGATATGGCTATCAAGTGTTTCCTCTTCAGCCCAAGACCAGCTTCTATATCTGATATACAGTAGCATTCAAATGGTTCCTGTATACAATGAGATTCTCATGTTTGCCAAACAAAAACAACCAATCTAAAAAGCAACTAAATGTATAAGGAAGGAACAAAAATTAAGGCACAACAAACAATTGAGGGAAAAAAGAGCTTCTTTTTCTCTCTCTACAGAGCATCTCTTACTTCATAGGACTCTATGATGATTGTAGCCAAGCACTCAAAAAGAAAAAAGAAAGAGGTCAAACAAAAATAGAGAACAAAATTTCAGATGAAACAGAAGAAAATCTATTGTTACTATGTAATACAAGGCCTTACACCAACAACAATTAAGCAAGTTTCACTCAAAACAGAAACAGCTATTAATGACCGTTCTTCATATCTTTTAAGTTTCCAGAGTCTGATAAGGAATCATCTATGCCACATTTTTCTTATTACCAAAGCCAGACAGCAAATAATATCTTCAGATGAAAAAAGAGTTTCTATATCTAGTAGGCACAATTGAACAAAAATAGATAACGATTTGGTTACATCAGCAAAATAAGCAAGGTAATGACTTACTCTTGTGTTGGGTTTGATGCATTTTATCACACATTTAGCCCCAAAGAGGAACGCGTCACTATCAGCTGTGATGCATGCATCTACATGACCTTCACTATTTAACTGGGCACATAGTGCTTCAGCCTCACCTTTTGCTTTTAGTACAGGCATCCCAAATAGTTCGATCAGTTCCTATATAACCAATTTTTAGTTAATATGCAGCCACTATAGTCTATAGGCATTAAAGAAACAACCATCAGGCCCTTGTCCAATTTATTTTATTTTATTTTATTTTATCTCTCTGTCCATTTTCCATTGTATGACCTATTTCAATGTCTTCTTTAATTCTTATAAAAAATAAATAAAAACTTAAAAATCAAAATTACCTACATACTCCATAACTACTTTAGACAACAATAACCACAACTGCGAAAAAAAAAAAACTAATAAAGGTGATAATAACCATTTTCTCAGTCTTCATGCCATCACAGTAGTCCTTTCCAATAAAAAGTATAAACAAAACGCTAAACCTTGATTATTCTTGAAATAATTTCTGGGCCAAAATATGCAAACAAAAACAAAAATTTCAACAATAAAATTTGATAGCAATAATAGGAAAATTATCGACTGACCACACACTCTTTAACAAATTTCTGAAATGCCCGGTTCCTCTCTACAGAAATGCCCTCTTCAGGCACGGGTAAACTTGAAGAATCTATGCAAGAACGGAAAAACCTCATTATCCTCGCCTGGGCTTTCAAAGGCGACGGAGTTCCATCGACAACAAAGATTGGATATGCTCGAAACTGTGAATTACAAACAAAATCATTCTCATGACAAAACCTAGCAATTTACTAAAAAGAAATTATGACCAAAGCCTAAAAATTTACTAAAAGCGTTTTATAAGACCTTGGCGAAGAGGTTGATTGTACGGAAGAAGGTGAGTCTGAGATGGGGTTTACGAGCATGATTTTTAATTGCGGTCTCGTGTTGTACAATCCAGTAAGAGAGGTCCACAGCAACCCGTTTGTCTCTCAAGAAATCGAAACCTTCCGTTCTGCCGTAGGGTTTTAGCAAGTCCCAGAATTTCGCTCCCACACCCATCACTTTTTACTTGAGTTTCATATTTTTTTCAAAGAATGGAAGAAGAATCGATTACCGTTATGAACTATAAGATCATATCTTTCAGACTCTGTGGGCTTTTATAGACTAAGGGACTGGGTGGGAGTTTTTTTTCCATTGAATTTGAGGGATTTTTAATTATACTACAGGTATTTTTCCCCATTTTTTGATGTATTAGTTTCGACTGTCCCAAAAACCCATATATTTGTGAGGGATTTATAAAATACTCCAAATCATGGTATTTTGGTTTGTTTTAAAATCTTATTCTATAAATATTCTATTAATTATAAAACTATCTTAATTATATTTTTAAAAAAATTAATCATATTATGTGTGTTTCTAAACATATTAAATATAAAATAATTTTAAGCAATTATAAAAAAAATTATTAAAATCTCATTTCTAGATGTTTTTTTGAATAAGTGAGGTTATAATATTTTAATCATTCTAGATGTTGCAAAGGATACTTTATCAAATCTGAAGTTACAATATATTAATAAGTAGAAAACAAATAAAGAACTCTTACTTTATAATTAGAAAAACAAAAGAACTCTTACCTTATAATTGAAAAAATACTACTCCAATTTAGGGTATTTTTATAGGCATATATGTAAATTTATTGTTTTAAAAAACTATCAGACTCATTGGAAATTAAACTCTCAAGCACATGTTGGGTGCTTTAAAAGTCGTTACTAAAAAGCCCTCAAAATTGCTAGGATGATTTACTGTCAAAACCGTTATAACCGTTACCATGAAACTCCTAAGTGGACCCTAAAATACTTTAGCATAGGGTTTACGCCATGTTCAAGAAAAGCAAATGTTTTAAAACACGACCCCACCTGGCCGGTTTGATCGGGACTCAGAAGCTTCAACGGGCCGAGTTTATATTTTTCTTATTCACCCAAAACCCTAGGATTTGAGAGGATAATCGGCAAACAATTGACGCTCGGGATGTTAGGACTTTTGAAGAGAAAGTGCCGGTGAATACAATGGTGGTGACAGTGTTGATTTTTGGTGAGTAAATCGGTCAAAAATCAAACAAAACTGGCAGCGGCAACAACCGGCTTTTGCTAGCGATTGGCAAGGCTAACGGGGGTGGGGTGAGGTGGGTTTTGGTCGGAGGAAGAGGGGAGTAATTTCTGGGTGATGGGAAGGGTTGTCGACGCCGACATCGATAAGATCTGGCCTGGAATGCCAACGTTGGTGTTGGTGAGATCTGGCCGAAATCGAACTTATTTCAGCCAGATCTTGGGTATATTTTAAGGGGAATGGGCTCAAGAGACGATTGAGGTTGCATCTACGATGTCACGGGCTGATTTGTATTTGGGGTGTGTTTGCTAAATTTCAAACCTATAGGGACTTAACAAATTTTTAAGGGTGTATCTGCTGAATTTTAGAAGTTTTTATCAACCGGTCAACCCGGGACCTGGCAACTTTGCCGGGTTTCACCTCGGGTTGGGTTTTAAAATATTGAGAAAAGCAACCGACCTGAGCAAATATCAATGAAATTCCCTTTTTACCCCTATCCGTTTCTATTTCAAAAATAATGAATAATACGCAGTATGCACCCTTTCTGATGAACATAGGTGAACGTTTAGAAACAAACGGTCTGTTCAAGCCCAGTTACTTTATTATATTGGGCTTTTATGGTTTGAAAATAAGCCCAGTTAAATAGTGGTTTAAAAAAAATTAGACAGACCGTTTGGATTACATTTTTAATATTTATAAAATTCAAAAACATATTTACTATAATATTTATAAAAAAAAAAAAATTGATAGTACTGAAATGAAAATACAAAAAAATTTAAAACAATTTTTTTTTATACATCCTGTAATGCCACACGAACTATATAGATATATGAGTTGCAAACAGTACAACATCGGATCCCTCATATGACTGGGCTCCAGATATCAATGAACTTAGATATTTACACGTGCAACCGGGTAATTACAAATGGCGATATGTAGCAGCTTCGATGCATGAACTGGACGAGAACTAGTGGACACATTCAAATATATTTGATGGAAGCCAAGCAATCTAATTATTTCTCCATCATATCTTACTCAACTGACTGCGCAGAAGAACGGCACATAATATGCCAAACTTGTGTCCTCAAACGCATACAACAATATCATAGAGAGATCCTCTATATTTAATCATTTTGCTGTTTGATTTTGACCCATGAGAAGCAAGGTGAGACCCGCTGTTCTTAAGTACATATATTAAAGCATTCTTCAAAATAATAAAACAAGAGCAATAAGTGAAGTGAGTAATTGAAGGAGCGTTAATTTACGAGGGATATGATCTACTAACAGATCACGAGATCATTGTTTGTATAATACGCTCCAATGGCTCCAGGAAACCAAGCCCACGAGACCAGTTCTAAGCGTACACTGGCACTGAGGCACAGCTCTGATTGGTGTGTCACCACACACTTAAACTGGCAAAACTGCCACTTTTAAGTTGATTGATACTTGATTTTGGACACTAATTATATAAAGTATTATTAAGAGAGTTTTAGAAATTATACGTGATGAATTCATAAGATTTAAATATGGTACTGAGATTATCTATGTTACAGTAAAATAAATAATAGACTGATAAGAGAGATTTTTATAATGGTTTGGATGTTTAAAGCAAATCCTATATCTAGTGTTATTTTATTATTCTCTGTCTATTTTTTATGATATTGCCCGTAAGACATACAAAGGTAAAAAAATATTTTATTTTACAGAAAGAAATAATGAAGCTCAAATCTATGTCTAGCTCTCATATGCTCAACCCCTTTTTTCGTGAAGAGAGTTGCTCACTTATACACCTTTTAGGTCAATGTAATGAATGTTTTTGTAAATTGTCATGATGCGTGGAAACCACTCCTTAATCCTTATCAACTTTATTTTGATAAAGTTAAGACAGGTATACGGTCTTTATCCACTTATAGATAAAACTTGAATCTGCTAGATTGGTGACAACCGTATTCCTTTTATCTTGGGACGACGTGGTAGCTTCTAGACGGTATAAAGCTTTCATAAACTCTGATTGGTTGATGCTGATATCAGCACCCATTTTTAGGCACAACAAAGTCCAAAAAGACCTCCTACCATATCTTCTAATCTCACCTTATGTCTCCTATTTTAATATCAATAAATTAGAAGCATCCACGCTTTTACACATTTAGTCGTTTTGCTATTATTACCGCAGGCCATTGCCCTCTTCACTCGCACGAGCTTCTTACCTGGAGATATCCACGACTAGAAGCTGCCTCCCTCTTTCTTTTATTCCTTCTTCTCATCCCTTTAAATTTGCATCCTTCCTTTCACTTCTCACTTCCCACCTTCCTATACTTCACCCTTAACTACTTTAAATCTCTTTGCTCCAAGATCATTTCAACCTCTTTCTCTTTCTCTCGTCTTTTGAACTCTCTTTTCTCCGCTTACGTTCTCAGTAATTAAATCTTGTTCTCAGTTTGTATAATTTATGATCATGTCGTCTTCAAGGACTTCATCATCACGTTCCAATTACACAAACTCCAAGCTAAGAAAGCAATTTTCATTAGAGCGTAGACCTCAAATGCTTAAAGATTTTCTCATTGACGATTCGCATTCATACCCTTCAAGCGGATTCAAGTCCTTTCCTAGGCGACTTGAAGATCGTAGTATGCGAAATCTCATCCAAATCGATGTCAATGCAGAAAGAAATCATTCATATTCAAGCAACACAAAGAGATTACTAAGAAGCCGATCAAAAGCAGCAGCCTCAACAACAATCTCCGCCTTTCAAGCCATTATCAACACCGTCAAAAACATCCAATTCAATGCTGTTAAGTCTCCTTCAATTTTACCAAGAAGCTTTTCTCTTAGGCTGTCAAAAAAGCATAACAAAGAAATCAAGAGCAGTGAGAAGAAAGAAACTGAAATCAAAATGACAGTTAGAATCAAAGATATCATACGGTGGAAGTCATTCAGGGACTTGGTGGAGGAGGATCCTCAACCATCGGATCTTGCTTACTCTCCTGATCATCACCACTGCGCCACAACAACAACGGGATCCACCAATAGTCCTTGCAGTAACAGTAACGGGTCTAGTTGGTGTGAAAGTGATTTTACCGCGGAGGATTTACCGTCTTGGTGCAGTAACTCGGAGGATTATTTACCAGGTGTCGGCAGCGATTGCATGAAAGCGACAAAAGAGGCCACGGCTAATATTGCGGTGGGACCAAAGGTGAGCAATTATTTAAGTGTACACAATCTATAGAATATAATTCTGTGTCTGCTATGGCTTAATTTACGTGATGATATTGTCTGGTTGTGAGGTTTGGTAGAATTTGTCTCTACATTGAGGTTGATGTTTTGTCTGATTAGTGACAGAAACACATAACTTAATCACATGAGACAAAAAGTCAAAAAGTAAGTTACGAGGAAGTCATGTTTAATAAAAGATATAATTATAATTAACACATGAAAATTACATCCCTTGATGATTTTGATAGTTGATTTTTTTTTTTTTTAATCCATCGAAGCTTGTGTGGAAGCTTCTTAGCTCAAACTTTCATGTGTTTTTTTTTTTTTTTTTAAATTTCAAGTGGGTATATTGTTCTTATTTTGACTAATGTTGTAATGCAATGGCAGGAGTTATCTTGTGACGAGAAAGAACAGCGGAGCCCTGTTTCTGTTCTTGATTTTCAATTTGAAGAAGATGAATCCCTATTATCTTTCAATCGAACCCTTGACCATATGGAGAGTATGTTCCGTCTTTGGCCTCCATATACGTTTTCATGTTTTAATGTCATGCCATTGTTAGCTAACTATAAGCCTGTGATTTTTTTCTCAACAGAAACAAAACAAAATCTTATGCAAAGGATTCAATGCTTTGAGGGTTTGGCCAAAGTAGATCCTTTCAACCTAGAAGAATGGATGTCAATGGAAGAAAATGACGATGTTTCTGATGAAGATAAAGAAGTAAATGATGTTGAAGAGACGGCAATGCGGCTACTGAATCATGTCAAAGCTACAAGTTCAATGGGGTATTGTGAAGACAATGTTGTTGTAGAGCAACTGTTGTTTGATTTCTTTATGGATGAATTATCTACAAGAAACGATGAGATTGACAGCGAGATGATTGGGCAAGCAAAAAGATGGATTAATGGGGAACACAGTTGTACAATGGATTGGGAAGAATATGTTAAAGGAATGGATAAAAAATTTGGGAAATGGAACAAATTTGAGGAGGAACAAGAAGAAATGGCTTTGCAAATTGAGATTGTAATGTTGAACCTTTTAGTGGACGAGGCATTGGCTGATTTCTTAGTAAGCTGAATGTAAAGACTAAAGGACATGTACACAGAGGCACAACTGGTGCCAACCGTATGCCCATGTGGCCACCAGCCCATTCATTGGGCCAAGTTAAAGTCAAACGGAAATGGGCTCAACTTGATCAGTCAAAGAGTTCAAATAGAGCATAGAACATGAAAGTTCCAAAAAGTAGAAAAGGTTTATAATAAAAATTATTTACAGATTTTCCAGCTGTATGGGGTAGTTGACTGAAGTCCAAAGGAAAGTAGTCTAGTCTTTCAAGGCCTTAAAAAGCTGCCACGTGGTGAAATTGTTCGACGTGGCATAAAGTCCTCGATTTCGAGACTTGTTGGGTCCTCAAATCTGAATTGTAGTTGAAAAAGTAATGCGCCTTTATTAATTGCAGCTTTTCAGATGACATTTATATTT